AGTTGGAGGCAGGGCGTCTAAACTTTTTTCTAAATAATGATATGCTTTGAGAAATACTATGAGAAACAAATGATCAATGCCATTGTGACTGCAAATACTCTATTTCCCACTAACTATAGCAGTGATGGTATTTCTCTATTGTGAATATATTTGAAATAGCAATATTGGTAATTTGGTTGGCCCAAATTCTAAGCTTTTAAACATTCAGCCATCTCACCAGATAAAATTGCTGATGCAGCCTCCAACCTGATACTTATTTCTTCATAGATACTATTAAATCCACCTAGACATTAGAGTTTGGGAAGAGCATTAGGAAACCAGTTCTAAATAATCATTTCTCATCTTTCCCTGTTAGCCTTTTTCCTTTTTTTTCTTTTCTTTTTTTAATCACATAAGCACCCAGAAGGCATACTCAATCTTTTATTTCCTGAACCACATTTCAGACGGTTTTATTTTTAGTCACCTCTGACACAGCTAAAGAGCAGCCCCAATAAGATTTTATGTGGACATCACTTTTTTTTCCTTGTTCCAAATTGCTTATTTCTCATCAACAGTCTTGTTAAAATCAAAGTTTCTGGTCATTAGACTCCAGCAGAGCAGATCTAAGGCAGGCCACAAAATGCTGACCTCTTATCTATAAGATCATACTAGAACTAAGCAAGGAGAAATTTTAAAGTATCTTACTTAGGTACGTAGGTGTCATTAGTCTCAACATCAGACTGTATAGATGCAATTTGTTCTTCAGCACCTTTGGGTTGTTTGTTTGTTTTTTGAGAGAGAAATGACCACATCTATACTAATTAAAGGGTAATATGCTAATTAGGGCACAGGTCTTCTGGACATCTATCAGGATGTCCATCCAGACAAAGTCACAGTGGCTACAAGGCCTGGGGCTCAGGCATCCCTGGGCTCAGGCAACTAGCTGTGAGTCCCAGTGGCTGCAAGGCCCAGGGCTCAGGCCTCACACCCACCACAGCTGGCAGTGGCAGCAGCAGCAGCGGGGTGAGGGGGGCAGCGCCTTCCCCTGATCAGCCCTGTTTCCTCCCACAGACATCCCCTGAGGGCTCCTGGGCTGTGAGAGGATGAGAGGAGGCTGGCCTGGCTGAGGGACACCTTACCCCCCACACACACCCCCCGCCCCGTGCACAATTTTTCATGCACTGTGCCTCTAATAAGATTATAAAATGATTCAATCTGAATTTAATGTAGATAAAAATGTTTGTTCAAATGTTAGTAAATATGTAAAAATCACTATGAAAAATCAGATAGAGGATATAAAGATAAAGTGACATTTTTATCTGCTGATTGTTTCCTTTAAAGGCTGAGACTAGATATTTTGTATCTAAGGCAAAATTGATTTTCTTGTTTGGAAGGACTCAGAAATGATGCTGTGAATAATGAGATTGTAGAGGGGAAGTGTGACTCTTTCTTAAAGAAATCTCTCAGCCATTGGACCTAGAAATGGAAGATTAGCCATTTTAATCACTGGCAGTATGCATTCCTTGGCTGTTTTGCATCACATACAAATAGCTTGCATTTCTGTCTTTCTTTCCTTCATCAATCTTTGCCCTTCCGTCATCAACTCCTGACAGCAGGACCACATTTGACCTAAGATGATACTTTGTCATTTTCCTGCATATTGCTTTCTAATTGAATAGAGTTTTTTCTGATTGGGCAAAAGCAAGGCTGGTGGTCTCTACACCTTGACTGTGTGTCTTATTTTTGTATGTTTCCTGGAGGGACCATTTTTTAAAAGACCTTGTTAGGCAATTAGTTCATTAGACAGATGTTATACTACCTGAGTAATGATATTCCAAGTGTAATAGCTCTTATCGCTGCTTCTTAACTACAGCCTCCATGTAGATCAAGTCTACATGGAGGCTGAAGAGGAGGCGTGCAGCCATGGAAACCACATTCTTTTTATCAGAACTGGTAGCAAAAGGACCTGAATTTGGTTGGCCCACATGCTTCTGCCTTCCTCTGATGCCACCATAGAGAGCAGTGGGTGCCAGGAGTGGGAGCGAATGAAAAACAGCATTAGATTGAATAACCCTAACACTGAACTTACTGAGTGAATTCTCATGCTTATCAAGCCAGTAATCTTAGAGAAGTCATTTCCGGCTAGGTTTTTTGGCTATATCTAGGAGAATAACTATGTTGTGATAGTTGTAAATACCTGGCTATACTTGTTATTATAGTTGTAAATACCTGGCTATACTTGTTATAGTTGTAAATACCTGGCTATACTTGTTATAGTTGTAAATACCTGGCTAATCATCATTTTACCATAGAGCAGACAGCAGATGCCACAGCCCCTCCCCCCAACAACCCTCTCATTTGAAATTCATAGCATTTATGATTTCATTATATTTTTTAATTATATTTTTTACATTATTGTCTATTTAATATAGGTAGAGCTGTATCTATTTATGACTTTAACATATGTTTTTCTCATGAACTTACTTAAGTAAAAAAGCAAATTTATGTACAGGGAAATGTTAAGAAAATAACAGTTTGGATATTGTCAGAATCACAACAGTAGTATGTGTATGTATCTGCCTCAAAATAGAAACTGAGATGCTGGAAATAATAACAGTAAACAAAAATTAAACCAAAACAGGCTTAGTGCCCAGGAACACTACCCAGATTCCAAGAAATGGGCAAGGAATAAACCAATGGAGGGGGGAGGGCTGGATGGAGCTGTAACTGCCTCTATTAAAAATGACCACTTGTCATGTGGGTGGGGTTCCTTTACTTTTCATTTTGGTGACAACCTTCCAGTGGAACTTGCCTTTGTAAAATGTCAATGCTAACTGTGCCAAAAACCATAGCGATCTTGCATTGTGTTTGAGCTTTTATAATGCTGCAAATGACTTGCAAACCCTAAATGAACAGAAGTAAAAATGGTTCGTAACAACTTTAACTAATGTTACAAGGAAAATGTTCATGTTTCCCAGGATGACTAAATGCCGAGTGATTTACATAAACAAAGGAGGAAATCCTCTTTGTGTTTAGGGATGTGAGTCTAATACAGGAACCCGTGTTTTCCTGTCATTGAAAAGCATTCTTTAATCTTTTAAGCACATTTTAGGACCTGCACATGTTCCAGGTGTGTTGTTTGCTTTAACATTAAAACACAAGAACAGGACATACTATTCAGAGAAACCTATTAGATCTCCCTTTATGTCATAGGAGACATAGAGGGTAAATGAATTGAATTAAATGGATGGACAAAGCCCTGAGCAGACTGGTAATAGTTATTCCTAATGGGACTTAACAGGCTTATACTTGGAGCTGAAGGCCAGAGGGGCCATTTGTGAATGGAAAACCATACATTTCCTCTGATTGTGGGTGTTAAGGGGATGATGACTTTTTAACCATGAAAATAAATGTAATTGGTGTGAAACATTCAGAAGCTTTCATCCAACTAGAACGGAAATAATGGGTAATAAGTCTAAGCACTATTTGAAATTTTAAAAATATATAATTGCTAAATTCTGGTTAAGAGCAAAGGGATAAGATTGTATGGAAGCCATAAAAATAGTCCTGGAACCACACCGCAGGGGTTCTCACCAAACCTAAAGGCAGGGACCCACAGTTCATTCCCTGAGTCCCTGCTCTCCTGGCCCAGACCCTGTAACACAACAGACACTGGCATGAAAGGAGAGGCTTACCACCAGCCGGGACTGGGTAGGTGCTCTCTGCCCTTCATTCCTCAAGGATTCTTTTTGCCATCTGTTGAACATCTGCATAATTATTTGAAAATGTGGAATCTGTGGAATCAAATCATAATTATTTGAAAATGTGGAATTAAAACAAAGAAAGAATGTGCCACTGATACACAGTTTTATTAGGGTAGAATTCATTATGACAAGTAGTGCTTTCCATTCTTTCTAGTTTCTTTAATAGCATCGTTCCTATTAAGTTTTACAATCCCTGCAGCCAAGGCTCATAGGAGCTTCTAGGAAAACCCTTTCAAAACACTCACCTCCCCACCCTGGAGGCTCTACATCATGAAGTAAGCCAACATAGAACAATATTCCAAGTTATCCTCTCCTGGTGGCTGGTGCTTGACTTCTGTCTGAGTGGTGACACTGTCTACTGTTAGCATGCCTAAGGCTGGCCGGAGGGACTGTGCTGGTTCTGCAGGTGATTGACCTCGGGAATTCATACTGGGGGGAGCAGGAGCACCAAGAATGTTAGATAAAGTCATATTTGTTTGTAAATTTGATACAAACTAGATTATATTTTAAATCCAAATGGTTTTGTTTGTTTTTGTTTGTTTGTTTGTTTTTTTTAATGAGGTATTACTCCTTATCACTAAAACCTAAAATATTTACACTGGATTAGATAATTAGAAATATGCATTACCATTCCTTAGGGGAACTGTCTTTAAAATTCAGCCTTTCCCAATGACCTCGATCTGGTGCCTGTTGGCCCTGTATGTTTCTTTCCCTGCAGTTGGTTATTGCACATTTGCAGCCTCCATTAAAGATGTTTGGTGTTATTGGGTTGAGCTGTGTTCAGTATGAATGGATGAAGACATAAACAAAGCAGCCCTTACAATCGTAACTGTATTGTAACTGCTTGAGAGTAGCAATTACAACTTCTATATCTTTTGACCTCACCTCTCACCAAAGACATACATATTCATTCTCTCAATAGATAGATGTGTGTGTGTGTGTGCTTGTACTGTATATATACTAGAAGCCCCATACACGAAATTCGTGCAAGAGTGGGCCTTCCTTCCCCTAGCTGCTGGCACCAGCTTCCCTCTGGCACCTGGGACCTCGGCTTCCCTCCAGCCCCAGTTTCGTCTGGAAGGACATCTGGAAGTACGTCCAGTCTAATTAGCATATTACTGTTTTATTTTATAAATATATGTATTTTTTTCTTCTCTCATTCTCCTTTTGCATATGCATGTAAGTGTGAGATAGAAGCCCACTGACAGGGAACAAACCAACCTGCACAACCACTAACCAGTGGTCTTTTCTTGGCAGTGACAAACAAGAAACCTACACAGGCGTCCATTACGAAGGTCAAACAGTTTGAAGGTTCCACGTCGTTTGTGCGGAGATCACAGTGGATGCTCGAGCAGCTTCGCCAAGTTAATGGCATCGATCCCAATCGGGTGAGTGTCTTGTGGAGTGTAGAGCGAGGGTGGTCTCTTTACACGATGATTCTTTTATTAACCTTAGCTGTGGTGATGGTTGTCTGAATCGTTTTCTCTGTTTTGGTTACACAAATAGGACTTTCTGATTTACCTTCTTATGGGGGATTATAGAGCTTTTCATGACGTTTGATATAGGAACCTAAGAGGATGCAGAATGAAAAAATGCTATGTCCAGTAATATGTTTATCAGCAAAGTGCAAAGACCAGAATTCAGATTCGTGTCCATGGCTATCAATATGAAAAGCCATGTTTCCCTAAGTTTCATTTATCTCCTCATACCACCAATTTATTTATTTACTTAAATAAATATATCCTTAGAAGTTTAGGAGTCTATTATATTTAATATGAGATACATTTTTGATAATTATTTATTCAAAGTAGATTCCCCCCTTTTGCTCATGCATTTACCATATAAACATCAATAATGAAGAAAAAGAAAATGTAAATTAAAGCTATATGCTAAAATAATGAGGAGGAATCTTTTCCTGCCAAAGATTAGGTGCAAAATTCATATGGTTTAGTGCTGATAACATGAATAAATTATGTCTCAAGTAATTGGGAGGATGATATGTAGTCTGAATTCTGACACAGGTCAATGTGTGGTAGGCTACAGGGACTTCTGTAATACTAGCTTCCTAGGGACATCTGTAAATACTGTAAGGTTTGGGTTTACTTGATAAACAGAAAGGTGGATTTTCCATGCACCTGGGTGCTAATAAAGAGGAGCCTTGCCCAGCCGGTGTTGCTTAGTGGTTGAGCATTAACCTATGAACCAAAAAGTCACTGGTTGGATTCTCAGTCAGGGTTGTGGGCTCGATCCCCAGTAGGGGGTGTGTCGGAGGCACCTGGCCAATGTTCCTTTCTCATCCATGTTTCCATCTCTCTCTCCTTTCCCCTTTCTCTCTCCATAGTTTTTTTTAAAAAGAAGAACATTATGATGAGTTTTGAAAGATGTTTTGCCTTTATGAGTCCTTTGTTGGGCATAAGATAGAAACAGCAGTTTTTAAACATTGAGATCAGTAGTTATTTCACTGTGTGTGTTTTTTTCCCAGGATTCTGCAGAGTTTGATTTGTTGTTTGAAAATGCCTTTGACCAGTGGGTAGCCAGCACAGCCTCAGAAAAATGCACCTTCTTCCAGATCCTCCACCACACCTGCCAGAGGTACCTCACAGACAGGAAGCCGGAGTTTATTAACTGCCAATCTAAAATCATGGGAGGTGAGTGGGCATTCATGTGACTTCAGTCATCCTGTTGTCTTAGACTTACTTTCATTTTACAAGTTAGGTGTTCCATAGTATAAAAAACATAAACAAACAAAAAAGAATCAATACTCGAGAACTATTTTAGGGAATTCATTGTATGCTCAATCTAAACACAGTGGTGTATTTTCATACTTATCCAAAAGCTGCTCTTTTTAGAAGAATGAGCTAAGATTGTTTTACTATAAGAACAAACCTGTTCCTTTACTAGAAATACCTTTCAGTTTGGCTTCTTTACTACCATTTATATAATTTTATTGCAGAATGTTATTTTCCAGGTTGCTTTTTCCTGTTATTTCTCAAGATATTTTACAAATCCTATATAATAAAAGCTTAATATGCAAATCAATCAAACGGCAGCAGGAACGGACAGGCAGTACGACTGGTTGCTATGACATGCACTGACAACCAGGGGGCAGACGCTCAACACAGGAGCTCTCCTAGCCAGCAGACCCCAGGCCAGCCAAAGTGGGTGCCAGTGCCCCTCCTCCCACACACCCCCATCACCCTACCAGTTGCCCCACAGATTGGCCCTGATTGCCAGTCAGGCCTAAGGAATCTATGAATTTTGTGCACCAGGCCTCTAGTATTAATATAAAAATTCTTACAGATGTAGTGCCTTTCAAATAGTCTCACTTTTATTTCTTCAGTGGTATACAGAGCTGGGTTAGGGTGAATGCCGTAAGCCAGCCTTAAGGAGCAAGTACCAGCATTGGCAACTTAATGAGAAACATTTAAGAGGGTGCTTAACACATTTCTTTTAGGAGTTATTTCTTTTTAGAGAATTGAAACTGTGCTAAAAATATACAGGCTTTGCCAATCACTCTGTGAGATGAAGGAGAGTATATATATCATGGGTCTTATTACTCACCTGATCTCTTGGTTTGAAGGAATTTTTTAAAATGCTCCAGCTTTATCTTAATCAAGTGTGAAATGAAAGTCACATTAGAGACAGTGCATGTTTTCTTTGGGATATATATCTTCATGTGAACATGGCAGAACAACATTGTTCTCTCTCCGCAACTGCCGTGCTTGATACTTGTCATTTTGTCATTTGTTTGCTAGATGTTATATGGAGAAAACACTATGCAACACATAATTATTCACTGAATTATTCCTCTTTCCCTTAAATAGGAAGTTGCTTATATCATTAGCCTTGAAAGGATTTTAGTAAGCATTCATGTACAGTCATCTTATAGTTTCTCTATTTAGTCCTAGAAAAAGAAAAAAGAGGTGATGAGTGGTGCATTTAACTTCAAAGTTTGTACATCCTATGGTACAAAGGGAAAAATTTAGACATATTAATAGATGTTAAAAGAAAAGGGAATATCAAACACTAACCCCTTACTATTTAGAAAATATGAAACACAGCTTTCTATCATCTCTGTGCCATCAATGTTCATTAAATGAATACTGCTTTCAAAGTCCAGCCTTAACAGACTTGGCAAATGGTTAAAGTCCACCAGGCCTAGGACCATGGCAGGCTGCAGGACAATGGAAAGTCCTTGCTATGAAACATTTTCCCCATCAGTGTCTGTATGATCAGTAACTTGCTTGGCTAGCCCTTAAGCATCGAGTCTCCTCTAGAACTACTGTGACATTATGAATTTGAAATTTCTATTGATCCAGCCTTCCACTTCTCCCTATTCTATACTGAGTGCAGAGGGGCAAGAGCAGTGCATTTCCTCAGGATGGAAACCTGAGCTGGAAACAGAGGGCCACAGAGTCACTCCTCAGCCTTACAAAGGAAAGGAGCCACCTCCCTCAGCTCAGGTTGGGAAGAGTTTGGATGACTCTTCCCCACTTTCTCCCCTAAGGAATGGCAGTAAGCAGTCCCTCTTCTCTGCTGCCTCTGAAGCTCTCATTTCTTCTCTCAGAACAGGTCCTTTCATTCTTTTAGTCGCTCTTGATTCATCATCCAGTTATACAACAAGTAAGTACTGAGTGCCTACTATGTGCCAGTCACTGTGCTATTCCTGGATATGAAGAATAGTTCTATATTTGATCCCTTAATGGGATCAAATAAAATCCTTAATTCCAAATCCATGACTGGAAACTGTTCATTTGCCCTCTTGATTATCCTCAGACCTCTCCACACAGCCCCACCAGCTGCTTCTATCAACCATTGGCCAGCCCTTCAGATGTCTTCCAGTGCCCTATGAACCCTAAATTATGTGGAGTTGAGACAGGAACCCATATATGCAATGTTGAGTTGTCCATTGCTATGTGTATCAGATGAATCTACAGATTGATTTCCTATGGTAGATAATAAGTTAATGAGACCAGAATTCTCGCTGCCTTTGTGATCATAGATGCATCTGTCATCTTCTTTAGACCTCAATTTTCCCATGGGTAGCATGTGGGGGTAGACCAGTATCTAAAATCCCTTTCAGTACTGTTTTCAGAATCTATAATTCCTAAGGTGTTGCTTTATTGTGAAGTTTAATCACTTTTTAAGTATCAAAAGCTTTAGTGCAGATAAATGTTGACTGGTCCTGGATTCCTATGGAAGGCAAAAAAAGCTTAAATTAATCACATTGTAATTCGCTGGCAGCACATATGTCCTTCATGAGTATAGTCTGTCTAATAGTTGCTTATCCTTGGTAACAGTTGTACCAACAAACCCTAATTAATTAGCATGCTGATCAGGCTTTTGTGCTCCCAATTATCACCCAATTTTTAAGCCAAAGCTTAAAAATTATGTGGTTCTCAGGCTACTACTTTCTGACCCCTTTGATTCTGGGGAACCTACCCCATCTTCAGATCTTCATTTCCTTATTTTTAGATGAGATCTGTTCCTAATTCCATACTATCTTTTTAGCTCTTCTCAAGTATGGACCACAAGTCCTAGACACAATTGGTTTCTGCACTGTGAAAGGCGATAGGTTTTGTGATTTTAGAAAACTGATATGGTGTTGGTTTGCTGCCCTACACCAGGTTCTTTATGTATTATCATATCAGCCTTTGGAAATACAATTTATTGTCTTCATTTTACAGAAAAGGAAGTAGACTCAGAAAGATTGTTAAATAGCTTGCTGAGGGTCACATAGCTAGTAAGATATTCAAACACAGGGTCACTCCTCTCTAAAAGCACCTTCCTCAAGGTCACTGAGTGCTACGCTCCAGAGAATATCATTGGCATAGTCTTTGGTATGAACGTGCCCCCTGGAGTTATAGAAGACTTTTGGAAAACATTTTACATTTGTAAATATTTTTTTTAAAGAGAAGGAAAAAGAGAATGGCAGAAACTATAGGTAGTTTTAACTTTTTTCCTAGTTTTATTACAGATATATAATTAAGATAATTCTTAAGCTTTTTTTTTTTTTTTTGGTTCTAAGGATGAATGAGTCAACAGGGGCCTTTAAAAGCATCTCTATTTTGGCCAAAACCGGTTTGGCTCAGTGATAGAGCATAGGCCTGCGGACTGAAAGTCCCAGGTTTGATTCTGGTCAAGGGCATGTACCTTGGTGGTGGGTACATCCCCAATAGGGGGTGTGCAAGAGACAGCTGATCGATGACTCTCTCTCATCGATGTTTCTAACTAACTATCCCTCTCTCTTCCTCTCTGTAAAAAATCAATTAAATAAATAAATAAATAAATAAATAAATCTCTATTTGGAGGGGGTTTGTTTTTGTTTATCAGATCTTCATTATGTTAAAGAGATGAAAGTGAGGCTATTTTAATGAATGGGAAAGATGATGGAGCCCAGGCTGAGAAGACCTCTCAGATGCTGCCTCTGGTCCCAGCCTGTCATTGGGAAAACTGAGGCCCAGTGAGTTTGAATGACTTTACCAAGGTTAGTGGGCTGAGAGCAAGTCTGCCTGACTCCCACTGAATCACACTTTTTTAAATACTAGTTCAAATAGAATTATTATTTAAGTATTAAAAATTATACACAGTTCTCTTATATGTATAGATTGTGTATATGCCACATGACAGGATTTTATTTTTCCCTTGAGGAGAGTTAGTTACACAGGAATGAATTGTATGTTATGTTTGAAGTTCTATCTCCAAACATATTTCCTTATCTCCAGAGGACAGACTGGGAAGCTTTGATTTTCTGATGCTGGTTACAGGATCTAGGAGATACTTGTGAAGTCCAGGAGGCTGAGTGAAGGCCCTCAGACACTGGAAATGGGCAGGGTGCTCTAAGCAAGTATGAGGGGGAAGCTGTGGTTTCTTCTCATGCCTCTGTCAGCATTTCCTCTTGTCTGGATGGTTGGAGTACTAGTAAGCTAGGACACAGTCCTCAAGCTGTGGTCATTCCTAACCTTCATTCTACTTCGTTTTTAGTTCATTAAAGGTTGGTCACCTTCAACAAATTTGAATCTATTCATTTAGTTGCTGGGTCCCTAAGTTACCAAGCAACCTACAGAGATTGAAGGCAGAGGCATGGAGCCCGTCTGACTGCTGAAATATGACATGGCATCATGAATGGCAGGGGCCCTAAAAGGGAAGTCTTAGATTCATGTTGATCCTACTTACTTCTTCTGAGACAGTAGCTTTGTTCTCTCTGCTCATTGTAAACAGATAATTTCATAGTGTTATTTAGGTGGTAACACATTTGCACTTCAAAGATGCCTCAGAGTTAATCACATGTGTAGAACTTTAGACTCCAAAAGAGAGATTTGCATTGAACTAATTCATTCCATGCTCTGCCTCAAAGAGTACCATCAGTTTAGATAATGGGCATATCGCCTTAAGTTACTGTCCCAAGGGGGAATTTGTTGTTTTATTTCTTCATTTTTCTTAGTAAAATGTGAGAAAGTCCTACATAGCTTCACATTGCTGTTATTTACACTGTACTTTTGTAGTGATTACTTTTGGTCTTATTTATTTATTTATTTTTATTTACCTAATAAACTATGGAAATCCTTAGTGGTATTTGTAACTTCTGTGTTAGATCCACAAAGTAGATTCTTTTCAAAACTGTTTTTTCAATAAGTGATGTAAATCG